GAGACTCTGAGGAGCTTGGGCAAAGGAGACAGGAGATCAGGGGCTGAGGTCAAGGAGAAAATGGAGAATCAGGAAGATGGGGATTAAAGGAAGTAAATGTCAGTAGTGGTAGGATTCTCAGACTTGAAGGGGAGAGAAGAATGAGCAGGGAGTGATGGGTCTGGAGAGTAAAAGGACAGAAAAGAGAACAAAGCATTAAAATTGATGGGGAGAGAGACTTTTGTGGCCCTCAAAAGGAAGAACAAACAAAGCAGTCGAGGGAGCAGGGAACAGCCTAAGAAAGAAACTCTGTGTGGAGTTTCTGATAGAGATGAAACTCTGATAGAGATGAAAACAGAAAAGGTGTGGGCAGCCAAGCTCCAAATGGTCTTCACTCAACTTACCTATGGATTTTTAGGCCTCGTGTAATCTCTTTCCATATTGAGCTGGGCTGATGTATGGTGGGCTCTGCTTTCAAATCCCAGCTACGTCACTATACTCATGAAGCGGCTTCCATCACTGGCCAAACACATGACAGTACCTCATAGCCAAGTACGCTGTTTGCTTGTCCTGGACTACGCTATATCTTTCCAGTCTGAGTCAATCTTGACAATAATGAGCTCCACCAATAGCTTTCCAAGAAAACCACTAACACTATCCTATTGCGAATTTCGTCATTTTACTAAAGCTTTATGGGGTCATGTACAGTGCTAGGCACACAGTGTAGACCATTTCACTTGAAGAGTTCCCATTAATCCTATGAGCAATCTCTTCCCCAGGTCTTCAAGAAACCTGTCAAGAAATTCTGTATCTTCTATCTGCCTTCATCCAGTCTTTCCCCTACACTAGGATTGCCTCTTCCTATTCCAAACCCTCTCCTCTTTGTTCCTTTCCTAACTGCTCCACCCTTTCTTATTCAGAGCATTTGTGCATATCCCAAACCAGGTACTCAGTAAGGAAACCACACCAGCTCGTCCCTCCAGAAGACTTACACAGCCATGCTTTTCCATAACACCGACCTAGGGTGTAACTGTGGGGAGCCCGGCTGGGGTGCTTGTGTTTCATGGAAGCAAACCAACCAGTCAGAGATGGGGGATAAGTCAGAGGTTAGAACCAAGACCCTGAAAGTTCAGTAGTGCCAACTGGCCATTGGGACCTTGAACAAGTCACTTCTCATCTCTGAAACTTAGATTTTCCATCTATAAAATGAAGACTAAAAGACCAGAGATTGTTCCAGTGTTCACATTCTATGGTTTTATGTAACTTTCTAGTTACATAACCAAAAATTATAATCAAGCAAAGACTAATTTCTCAGTGGTCCCACTGTCTTTCAGCTTTCAGTTTAAAGAAACTTAGTTCCTTGGTTGCCCCCCTATTTTTTACACTCCCATTCTACTAAAATTATCCACAATTTGAAGAAAGCTTTGCTTTCATCCTCTCTTGTCTTTGGTTCAGTCGCTCAAAGAACATGACCTGCTACGAATGCATGTGAATGCAGTAGAGCTGTCTTCCTCACTAAAGTGTTATTGAAAAACTATGAGTACTTTCTGTGGGGATATGGGGTGTTTCTGCTCTTTTTCTCATCTCAGTTTTCAACAGCCAGACAAAAATGTCACTGATGTGCTGTGACCAGAGATTAAAATCACATCACTCTATTCTCATTTTCAGTTCCTTCAATCTCCCCGCCAAAACATCAACATGACTCCCTGAAACTGGCACAAAGAAAAATTGTTACACATTATAAAATTCTGCTTACCTTTGACCCAACTTTGCTTAATTCCCAAAACTGAGTTTAAAAAAACCCATCTGCCAAAAACTATGTGCTGGTAGAGAGACAGACATTAGTATCAACAGCTGCCTGTGTTGTTCTGGCTTGGTTTGCTTGCTTTTGTCAATTCTCCGGTTTTCTAGAAAAAGATTATCTATCCCCAAAGCCATTAAAGCATCTAACTAGGATAAATAGTGTAAAGAGTTCCTGCCCGTGAAAAACAGTCCTCCATTGTCAGACATTCCCTCCTAATTGATCTTAATAAGCTACTTCAAATGAAGGGGAAAGAAAAAGCATAGCACTAACAAATGGTAATTATCTGCAATTCTCTACTTGTATGCCACTGAATAGAGAAAATAACGCAAACATGGGTAGACGCAGGCTAGAGCTTTACAATGACATCAAAATTAGGGTATTTTGTACAGTAAGTAACGAGACCAAGTTGCAATATTTCAAAGGCAGGTTTTCATCCAGAGGACAATATATTCCATGGATAGCTGGGCACCACAGTGAGATGAAATTTGCACAAAGCACAGACTGTGAGCATAGAGCAGAGGTCAGAGATGTTTAGCTTTGTGTCTTAAAAGCTGACTGGTGTAGCAGAGGTTTCTTTAGCTACTAATATTTAATGTAAAATTCACTGATTCTATGTCAGCTTTAACATAAGAGAATTAGATGCCCCAGCTTCTTAGACAGCTATATTGCACATTAAAAGAACTATAATCCTAGCATTTTGAAACCACTGAAAAATCAAATCTGCCCTTACTTTATAGAGGAGAGAAAGAAAACCAGAGGAAGTCTCACAGCTGTTGGTAAACCCCACAGACCTCAGGTGTGGTGGTGGAGAAAGGGGTGGGGTCATAGAAAGACCATTTCTCTTTACATTATTTATAATCTCATTTTCAGTCCAGACCACTAATCACCATTTCCTTTAATCTTCTCTTTTTTGACATCAACAAGCAATCCTGAGCACTTACTGTGTGCTATATGCCAGGGTAACTATAATAATAAAAATGCACCTAGCACAAGAGAACAATGATACATAATTCTCAGCACTAACAATTTATCAATTTTTTTTAAAATTCTATGAATCTTCACTGTAGAAATTTGACTGCTCTTCCACAACTCTGTCTGCATTACCCCTAGCATTAAAAAGCATCAACTGACTTCCTGGCAGCCACAAAAAGGGAGAAACTTGTGTACAGCTGATGATGGAATTAGGGAGAAAGATGGAGGCCTAGGTCTCGGGTAACAAAAAAAGAGTGAAATGACCAAGACCACAGGGACTAAGTTGTACCCAGATGGCCACAGGCAGGATTCAGTCAAGGATCCCAGCCCTGCCTGAAGCAAACGCCGGGGATGGGGTAGGGAGGGGGGACAAATATGAACAGCCTCTGCTTCGGAGAATGTAATCCTTGTATTATTATTGTATACATATGTATTATATTAGTATTTCACTCTAGCTTAGACTTCCACAACATCAAATCATGTTAGCAATCGTTTTTGATCTCTAGATCTTTATTTTAAATTTCTTTTAGTGAGGGAACATTGACCGTTACACTCTATATATGACTTACAGGTAAAGAAGACATCCTTCAGGTGTATGTTACCAAATACATACCTACCACCAAGGCACCCAGTGTCTTCCACCATGGCCCATGGGCCCCCAACTCATTTTGTTCTTCTTCCCCCATGAGAGCCTCAACTTTAGATTGAAAACCAGATTTCTATGGTTACTGATTTTGTTTTCAGGGGCCCTTTGTTTTCTCTATATTCCATGTATATGTGAAAGTATCCAGTATTTGTTCTTCTCCTTCTGACTTATTTTGCTTAGCCTAATTCCCTCCAGTTCATTCCAGGTTGTTGCAAATGACCAAATTTCATCTATTTTTATAGGTGTGTAGTATTCCTTTGTGTGTATACCATACGTTGTTTATCCACCCATCTATTCTTGGAGACTTAGGTTAATTCCATAACTTGGCTATTGTAAATAGTGCTGCTATGAACATAGCCTATATATCTTTTGAATTAGTGCTGTTTTTTTTTTTTAATCCTTTGGGTAGATATTTAGGAGTGAATTGCTGGGTTATATGGTAGATCTATTTTTAACATTTTGAGAAATGTTAAAAATGGCTTTGCCATTGTAAATAATTTTAATAATACGAAAACTGCTTACTATATTACATTGTGTTTAACCCTAACCACAACCTTTCATCCCCATTAAAGAGATGGAAACACTTCTGATCAGAAGAGCTAAGGGAGTTGGCCTAAACTACAAAATGAAACCAGACACAGAATTCAAAGCCAGGTCATCAACCCTAAATTCCTCACTTTAAGATTTGTTACTACACCTAGTAGTAACAAATTAAACTTCTAAACCATCTCAGTGATATTGCATATTGGTTCCAGCCCACCGCAATCAAGCAAACACTGTAATAAAGTGAGTCAAAAAACTTTTTGGTTTCCCAGTGCATGTAAAAGTTACATTTATGCTATATTATAGCGTATTAAGTGTGCAATAATATCATTTATTTTCAAAACAACACACATGCCTTAATTTGGTGTAATTGGTATAACTGTTTTTTAATCATCCAAGAAATACTGGTAACCCCTTTTTCCTCAAAGCTTTTGTCTAACGTAGATGAAAACTGCCATTCAACTCTATGGAAAGAAAAACAGAGTCCACCTGCTTTTTAAAAAAATTTGCAACACAAGGAACAGACAACTATTATTCTAAATCAGTTCCAGTCCTTGATGGAGGCTCTCTTAATTTCAAAATACCTTACTGCTAAAAAACAACATTAACCATCATGAGAGCTGTTGAACAAAATGGCACCAATAAACTTGCTTGACAGAGTTGCCACAAACCTTTAACTTGTTAATTCTTAAAAAGATTTAATTAATTTATGCATACAAGAGCTGCAGTGTAGGCCAGAGGCTCAAGGAGGGTGAGAGGATTCATCAGAGACAGAGTGGGGAGCAGAACAGGAGCATCTACTGAAATACACTGCTGAAGGGAGCAGCATCTGCTGCGCTATGTGGGTAGCTCCCTGGCCAGGGATCGAACTCGTGCTGTAGTAGCTGGCGATAGCTTGATAGCACTGAGTCTTTAACCCCTGTGCCACCAGGGAGGTCCCCAAACCTTCCATTTGCAAGATGCACAGTAAGTGCAGATTGCAATAAAATGAAGCATGCCTGGATGCAACTCAAAATAATAAAATTACCTAAACTTGCCACACTTTGTATTTCATACCTTTAATCCTCTGAAACTTCCTGGGCTAGTTGGAGAAGAACTGGAGGATTTCGTAGATTTAGGAGTAGAAAGCTGGCTGCTTGGGGTTCCATTAACTGACCGGGAGACAAGGAAGACCAAGTTCATTAAAATCCAAAATAACCAGAACATGTAAAGACAGCACATGCGCAATATAGCTGCAATGAAGCTTCAATTCATTTAAAGCTCAAAGCAGATGGGAAATCAGCAAAAAGCAAAAATAATGTATCTTATTGTATTACAGACACAGTATCAAACAAATAAGGTGTGAAAATAGACATTTTAAGTCAGTTTTTTGACAGTGACATAAACAAATATATAGAGCATTATGGGATTAGAAATGTACTACAAGAACTTGTTCAGATAGCGTGCCTGTGCGCAAGGGTAGAGGAATGAATGGCTATTGCATTTGCAATGGTTTACTAGAAGGTTGTTCTGTAACTGTCAACATCTACTGTCTTGGTAAATACTAATCTGAATAACTAAGAATTTCTTAGGGCTCTCCCAAATCAACACTAGCACAACCCAAAACATATTTACTAAGTATGTTCTTTATGGAAGGGGAAACTTACTGGTCACTTCCTTGTAATATTCATTTATTTGTTTGAAAGTCTAAAAATACACTCTTCAACTTTCTTTTTATTTTGATTAGTTATTTCTAATTCCTTCTATTTTCTTTCTTTTACTTCTCCATTACTTAGCAAATCTTGGTGACTTTAATACATTCCCCTCCACATTTACATCTATTTCTGATCGAACTTTTGACTTAGGTCAAAAGCTCAGTTTCAAGCCTATGAAAGAAGAGGATAGGCTGTGGCTGTTCAGGAAGGTTACTTTGCAGATTTTATATGAAGAATGCTGGTCAGATACTTCAGTGTGATTCATGATCATTCCTACTTTTATCACCTGGTTCTATTTCTGCTGTAATTTCACGAAGATGATAGTTAACATCTAGTATTGGTAAGATTGTTTTTCAATCATCCAAGAAATACTGGTAATCCCTTTTCCTCAATGCTTTTGTCTAAAGTAGATGAAAAGTGCCATTCAACTCTATGGAAAGAAAAACAAAGTCCACCTGCTTTTTAAAAATTTTTTACAACACAAGGAACAGACAACTATTATTCTAAATAATTGCCAATCTTTGATGAAGGCAGATGTCCTGGATCAAGTATTATGACTAGATAAGCCATCATTAATAGGGACATCTGGGTTCATGAAGTCACATTTGTTTATAGTATTTGCTCATTTAAAAAAAGTCAGTAAATACTTTTTCCAGTTATTTTTAAATTACCACCTTTAATTTTTCTAATTCAACACTACTTTAAAGTAATTATCAGTTATCTAGATTTTCTTAACAAATGCTTGTGGATATTTAGATAATTGTATGATTAATGAGTGGCTTTGAAGAGTACAAAAAAGGGCCAATTATTGCTCAATTAAATTTCAATTAATGTTATTGCTTTAAAAATTTTTCTTTAAAGGGACCTGGGATAGGAATTCACATAAGAGATTATTATGGGCAATAAACTAATCAACTTGCTGTGAGCAGAGACTGGATTTTATTCCATTTTTTCTTCATTGCACAGAGCTATCTATAAGAGATTACCAGTTTTCTACTCCAGTTTCTGAGTACTGTTAATAGACACCATGTTGATAACAAAGGCTTTCTTGGAGCAGTAATAGAATAAGACTCCTACAAATGATGATCTAATTTACTAACTTCCTATAAACATACCTAATCCCTCCCTCAACATAGTTTCTTAGCAAAACTCACAGCTAGAAATTTAACTGGTGTCAGTAACTACATATTTACCCCTAAATAACTACATATTTACCCCTAAATAACTCTGTTATAAAGATACTGAGTCACATGTAGCCCACAGCATTTGGAAGGTTCTTTAAAAATGTCCTCTCTAGACTAAAAGCTCAATGAGCCAATCTGTAAACATGGTGGCACAGATTGAGAATTAAGGTTGTTTTATTATTATGAAAACCATTTCAGTAATGGCAAAAGTATATATATTTTTCTAAGGCCCGACTTTGAAAAAGTTAAATGCATGTTTTTATTGAAAGGGTGACATTTTTCTGAGCCTGGGCTATATTACAAGCCACAGTATTGCCTGTAAATGGTTCTTTCTTTCTTCTAGAGATATTGTATGACCTACAAGTAGCATCTTTTAAATTCTCCAGTAGCTAAGAAGAGGGGTTCCCAGTCAACCCCACAACAGCAATAACTAAAAATGCTACATAATACGACCCCCACAATTTTAGGGTGGTTGGGGTATTTTGCTTTCTTGAAGTACGATTGTTTACTATTTCAATATCTGGTGTTCGGGTAGAGTGGACCAATAGAATAACTGGGGGAAAAAAATCTCCTGCTAGTTTTTCTAGGCGAACATCTAGTTTTGCCCCATGCTTACAACCAATCACTTATGGGGGCTACATCTCTCAGGATGCCACAGAGCAGCTCCCCGTCTCCCGGGCTACTGATGTTCCTTTGTTTTTTTATTTAAATATTTTATTTTATATAATTCTTATATCTTTTTATCATCTTTGCACAATGTATGCATTTTCATTTTGGTTATATTCCCCATACAATTGCTCCTCCCCCTTATTTTGACTCTAGTCCTTCCTTTCCCTGCCCTCCCTCCCCCCTACCCCCCTACCCTCGTGTCTCTGGTTTATAGTTGCTTGTTGATTTTGATTTTTACTTTGCATTGATTAGTCTTTTTCCTGGTCTCTTATTTAGGTTTTCTAAATTCCTGCTATGAGTGAGACCATCAGTGTTTTTTTTTTTTTTTTAATAGAGGCATGTTTTTTTTATTTATTTGTTTGTTTGTTTGTTTGTTTATACATGCACTGGGTACAGTCAGAAGCACAGGAGGGTGAGAGAATTCACCAGAGCCAGAGCGGGGAGCAGAGCAGGCAGAAGGACCGAAGTACACTGCTGAGGGGAGCAGCGGGCGGCAGGAGAGGTCTGCATGCCATGTGGGACCCTCCTCCAGTGGCCGGGGAGCAGCCGGGGATCGAACCAGCGCCGCAGAGGCTGCGGGCAGCTTCGCAACCCAGCGCTCAACCACTGCGCCACCGGGGAGGCCCGAGACCATCAGTGTTTTTCTTTTTCTTTCTGACTTATTTAGCTGAGCATGATCCCTTCTAGATTCATCCATGTTGCTGCAAACTGCATGTGTTTATCTTTGTTGATTGTTGAGTAATATTCCATTATGTACATGTACCACATCTTCTTGATCCAGTCATCTATTTTTGGGCATTTGGGTTGCTTCCATAGCTTAGCTATTATAAATAGTGCTGCTATAAACATAGTGGTGCAGGTGCCCTTTGGAATTACTGTTTCTGTGTCCTTTGGGTAAATACCTAGGAGTGGAATTGCTGGATCCTTTGAATGGATGCAGAGACATGCGGGAGGGATGGTTTGAGGATGAAACAGGGTCTATCCAAAAACCAAACAAAATAAAACATTTGGGGGTTAAAAAAAAGTTCTCTACTGAGTCTCAGTATCATTTATTTGCACACTTCACCTTAAACTTTGGAGGGTGAGACCTGTGAGAGTGGGCACTGTGCCCTCTCCCCTCACACAGCTGCCAACAGGGAGATGTGCAGCTACCAACAACATCACAATGTTCCTACTCCTTCACTGACCACCCCTCTCACCCCCATGTTCTCTCTCAAACAAAGCTTTTACCCACTCCTCCCCTCAACTGTAAGTAAGAAATAAATTTGGGATTTTTGTTTGCTCTGAATATGTATATAAGTGTACACACACACACACACACATTTGGTGGTATATGAAAGACTCACAAAGAAATCTTGCTTTGGATTTCTAGCTTAAGACTCAAAGTATGTTAACTATGTTATCCAGATTGATTTCTATGTGTTTCTTGCACAGTATTCAGCTGAGAGAGTTGCTGAGAGTTGCTGAGGCAGGCAGTCAACCAGACTCCATGCCCAGCAGTATTCTGTGCCAATATTTAAAAAGTGCATTATTATGTTTATAAAGTTACTAGCTTACTCTAAAATTTCAAATTTTCCCCAGAATTTTCTGAATTTTCAGCACAGCTAAAGTAGTCTGTAAAAGCAAGATATATTTCTAAGTACTGTGACGTTTAATAATACAAAACTTCTCCTTCCTGGCATTGGAGAGTGGGAAGAGAACCTGGTATGAAAATAGCAACTTTCTTCAGAATCACAGGTAAATCCCAGCAACTGACTCAGACCTCACTTTTATTAACTGCAGCATAAGCTGAACACACTTTTGGGTTCGTTTCTTGTGAAGAAGCCATTGACCCTCTGATGAGTATAATGCATTTACTATTTACCCAAACTCAGACAAAAACTCAGTTAAAATTTCGGGTTCTGGCGTTCTAAGATTTTCTAGAACCAACTGCTAAGCATTCCAAATTCAAGCTTTTTAAAAATATTTATACATATTTTAGATTATGTTATGAAATAGGTGCAAGACAGATGTAGCTGTGAACAGTAAGTTAGTTTTCCTCTTTAGACCTTGGGGAAACAAAATTGGATTCAGTACAATGAATTTTAGGTAAGAGTCTTCTAATCATCATCCCATCTGAACTTGACCTACATAAACTCTTTCAAAGTACTGTCTATCTTTAATTATTTTATGATATAATAAGTACTTGCAAACCTAGCATATCAAAAGCTAAGAACCTGACAAAATCTTTATCTACAATCTGGTAAGCTTAGTTCAGTGTATTTATGTAAATTCCATGTTCCATTAGCTATTGCAGTGTTTGAGACACAGAAAGCAGAGTTTGATTTGAAATAAGTAATAGCAGACATAATTTCAGTTAAAAATACTCAGTCTCAGTGTTTGTAGAGTGGCTGTTGAGTCTATTAACTCCAGGTTTGAGGAGGCAGGAGAGAATAGAAGAATATAATTGTTCCTATGGCCATTTCATATTCATAACCACCTTTTTCAAGAACAGATCATTTCCCAAAATAGAGAATTTTCCTAAATTGACTAGAGATAGACCCCTGGAGGTGACATGCCTTCTTGGACTGTGGTAACACGGCTGGCGCTTGATCTTCTGATGGTGACTGGCTTTCTAATATAGCGGCCTATGCACTGGGAAGCACTTCACACAGAGTTACACTGGTACAAGCCAGATACAGTCATGGAAATGGAGCAAAAGGAAACAGAAATGTGGCAAAAGACAAAAACAAAAGCCCAGCAGAGCGACAAAGCCATAATAACCATGGCTCACCTGGGGATTTGGCTGTAGAATAGGCACTGGAGTAGAGGCCAGCCCTCTTTACTGTACTCATTCAGTATATACAGAGGAGGAGATAGTAAGGACAGTGGTTATTCAGCAGATCTAGCTAGATGTGTATACAAAAAGAAGGGTAAAACCACCTGACCTAAAGAAAGTGGAGCAGGTTCTGCAGGAGAACTGCAAAGTGCAATATCCAAAACACTCAGTCTTTTATAAAAAGTTTGATACTTGGGACAGTTTTCAACTGATACAACTGGTATCTAGGGTCTAGATTTCCCAAAATTAAAATCACAGTTTTTCACCATCTTTCTCTTATTGGGAAATTGGATCAGCAAATTTTTTATAATTATTATAAACAAACCTAGTAGAATCAGCATGGTCAAGATATGCATACTTTTAATTCTTGAAATGTCAAAATTATGACAAACCTATAGGCTTAGGATCTGCAAGAAACTGAATTACAACTACGTCTGACTCTTAAATACATTACTATTTTCCAACAATAATTACTATGGTGACTATTAAATTGGTTGATGAAGAAAAAGCCTATGGAAACTTATCAACTAACTACATTTCTGTGTTGGGTACATGTTTTCAACCTATTAGAGAAGAAAACAGATAATAGAGTATGAAATACTTCTATGTAAATACCAGGGAAGGAATCTAAATAATAAAACTTCTTGAGAAAATGTGTCAGAACAAAACAAGCAAGTTTCTTAGGAGACAAACCTGGCAAAAGAGATTTAAATTTTTGTTTTTAAAAACCATGTCATCTATATGTTGTTTTGGAATCTGGCTGCATATGAAAACAACTCCTCGTTCATAATAACTATAAAAAGCTGAGAAAGATGTGCACTAGTAACATTCTTTTCTTTTCTCTTAATTTACCTGAAGCTGGTGATTTGCTGCGTCGAGAGGTTCCAGGGCTTTTGGATCCAGAATATTTAACAGTTGAGGAGCGAGAATAAGATGACTTCAAGACACGGCATTCTAGAAAGAAAGTGCGTTAAATAGGTCTGGTTTTAATGCAAGCCAAAGAAAGTTACTGCCTGGCACCATTTATTACCTGATGTTTTTTCTATTATTGTTAAAGAGCTATCATAGACAAAGTAACCATCCCAGAAGTACAACTGAGGTTACCCATCTTATGCATCACCTTGTTCATTGTTCCAGGCGACATTCTCAGTGAAAATGGAACCCCAATGTCCTGACTTGATGCACACACACCACTGGCTAAACAGTGCGACTTTAGCTAGTTGCACCAACAGGGACAGGATATACAATTTTATTCTTTCCAAACTGATAATCTTAGTGTGAGAGAGTATGGAATTCAAACTTACTCTTCATCTTCCTGTCTTATTTTTCATCTTTCCAGCTTTAAGCAGTTAGCTCTAGTCTTTCCGTAAGGTACCAACTAAAACAGCATTTAGAGTACCAGAACTAATTACAGCTAAAATAATCACTTCTAATTTGAATAATTAAGAGCCTGAGTTTTGGAGTCCTGCAGATTTTGGATGAATCATGGATTTGACTTTGTTACCTGGGGGACCTTGGTGAGGTTCTAAGTCTCAGTTATTTTTTCCCCCTATGAAATTGGGTTGAGTGAAATCTGCATCATAAACTTGTTGTAAGGATTAAATTAGGTAGCACATTGTCTGTAATTTATGTTAAAATACTTCAATTTATACAGGAAAATTCAAATGTGGGTTGGTTTTCATCTATACCCCAAGGGCAATAAATTAACATGTGAAGTGCACTAATCAGGGAAATAGACACCAGGGGAAGCTAGTTAGCATTTGAAAGGCTCTAATCAAAACCTCACTCAGAAGGGACTGTTGCAACTTCAGTTTAGTTAATTAACATTATGAATGTTGGAAAGTATTCCATTGTTGAAAACAGTGGCATGTGGATTAGTTACAAACATTTTAAAGGCACTGCCACTCTTCATGAGGAAGGATGTATAAATCTAGAGAGCTAATAACCAGAACTTCAGACCTATGCCTTAGGTTTAGGAATCTGAGCCAGCCCTGCCTCCAACTCCTAATGTAGTGTTTTGTTACCTAAGACTAGTTTACCTGAATTTAATGAATTTTGAATAGATCTTTATGCAAGATATTGTCAAGAAGCCTGTAAGCACAGATAAGGAATGTCAAAGCTAGAAGTTAAAAAACTGATTTTTAAAAATCTTTACCTCCTGATAGATGTACTGTTAGGGGGAAATAATGTCCTGAGTTAATCCCATACAGGCTTTGTGGACCCCACCCCCACTCCAGACTAAAGCCATCAAGACATTGGGAAAGACAAATCCCATCACCACCAAGGGAGGGTGGCTGGGACCTGAGGATGGAGTTGGGCAGCCAGGTTGGGTATAAAAACCAAACACGTGGGCCTTGGGCTCTCTGGCTCACGATCACTCGCCTCCTGGCTTCATGGCTCCTGGCTTCACCGCTCCTGGCTGGCGGCCAGCTCTCAGAGCGCCATTTGGGATTCCTGATTGGCGGATCGGGTAGGACTCATTTAAAACTTTGTCTCCCACTTTTCTCCCTGAGCTATACATTTCCTCATTTCCCCTTCCCTTGTAAATAAACCTTTTATTAACCTTTCACGTGTGCCTGCAGTAGAGCATTGATAAGTCCTTTTAAGCGCGCGGGTGAGGACCCACAGTCAGGCACCCCGTTTTGTATCGGGGTTGCTCTACAACAGTACCTGTGGCCGAATTAGGTCTGAAACTTGCTTTTATCATAAAATTTTATAGCTGATGGTGGTATAATAATGTCAACAACAATAGCATTAGCATATACTATGTAACAGGCACCCTTCTAACAACTTGGCACGTGTTAACTGATTTGACCCTTACAGAATTTTAGGAAAAGGCACTATTATTTTATTTATTTATTTATATAAGAGCTGGGGTACAGAGGGTGAGAGAATTCACCAGAGACAGAGTGGAAACAGAAGAGGCAGACGGACCTAAGACACTGTTGAGCGGAGCAGGGGGTGAGGCAGGAGAGGTCTGCCACCGTGCAGGTTTCTCCCTGGCTGGCCAGGAATCGAATCTGCGCTGCAGAGGCTGCGGACACCTTCACAGCGCAGTGCTCAACCTGCTGCACCACCGGAGAGGCCCCAAAAGGCACTATTATTATCTCTCAGTTTGCAGAAGGTTAAGTAAATAATGATTGAGAGAGAAGACATCAGCATCTTTCATCTACTTCTGTCTATTGGAGTCCATTAATGGTCAATAATAACAAAAAACTAAAAATGACCCAACTAGATTTTGTAAATTCATAACATACAGGTGCAGCACTGGGTCTGATGCCTGGCACATACGTAGTGTAGTAAGTGCTCAATGAATGTTTTGTCATTGTTGTCCAACTTAACATTATAGTTTAGAACACAGTTTCAGTGTTTCTGCTTTCAAAATAACTAATACATCAAAGAAATATTAAGAAATGAAGTTAAGCTAAAGTCAAGAAAGATATAAAATATAATGTGTAAATGCATGCTTCAAACTTAACCACCCCTGAGGAGGGCAGAGAGCCTTAACATAGGTAATACAAAATGGAATTATCTGCAATTCTTTAAGGATTTTCCAGATATTACCAGTTCAAAGCAAGGCCTATCTAAAAGCATACAAGACAGAACAGAAAACAACAAAGAAATCTGACAGCAGTGAAAAAGAAAAAAGATAAATGAGCTTCAAGCATAAAGTAGAGAAATCAGCCCAAAACAAGTGACTGAGTGTAATTTGAAAGAATCACACAAGAAGTTTGGTGCCCCAGAATGTATCATCTTGAATTTTAAAAGTTTAAGGGCCTGGTAATGTGTATCTCTAATTCTGGGCTATCAGAATCACTGCATCTGGACAGGGTCTACTGCTGGGCTCACTTGAACACTCAACTTTCCTATTCCCAAATCCGAGGAGTGAGACTTTTATCACTAATATCCCTCTCCTTGTGAAAAATAATGTCTGTATGATTTTACCTCATTTATTGGATGAAACTGACTACTATCCACCAAAATAATCACTATTACTACAATAGGTTTAAAATTAATTCAATTAATTCAAGACAAGATGAAAAAAAAAATCCACAAGACAAACATTTGAAATTACTGATATTGCTAAATAGTTGAAAACTCTCTATATAGGTTACAATCAGGAGAAAGGGCTTTTCTTATTCCACCCATGAAAATGCTTTTTTTTTCTGAAAATATAAACAATGCATTTTATTGTTTTTAAAAAGTTGAAAACAAAACAATGAGGCAAGGAAACCTGAAATAACCACTATTAAAATTTAGTTATTATCCCTTTATGTATATGAAAAATATACTGCTGTTTCAGATTCAGTGCTATCCATATATTAAAGGTGGCATAGTCATTCGAAAGAGGGCAGGAAATCCACTTCAGCAGCAAAAAAATGTAGTAAAAAGAGACAGAACCAAATTCTAAAAAATGAAAGCTATGTCAATTAAGTTTTTTGTTTGCTTTTTACAACTAGGCAAAAACTTCCATTTTATTCTCTACTTTCATTAGTTCAAAGAGTACTGCTAAGCCCTCTTTCTCCAACATGCCAGACCACTCATCAGGCACCAAGGACTAAATCCCAAACCTCCACCTCAGGGTTGCTATATGGTCAATGAACTGCCTTACCACTGTGATCCAGGACAAAGTCATCTTGGGCATAACGGAATTTTTCAGGTCCACATGCAATAAAAACATCATCATCACCAAAAAAGTCTTGCAGACAAGTAACCTAAAAACAAAAATCACATTCAAGAAATAAATTAGAAATATTAGGTGTGAAATAATCAACAAATCAAATACATTTTCAAGCCTCTCACCTATAATACTGAGTTAGAAAGAAAAAGCTGTTAATAGCACATTTCCATAATGAACAATGATGTAAAAAATAAAAAAAATAATATAAAAAATAAAGGCTACCATCCCCCACGCCAAAAAAAAAAAATCACACATTTCCAAGCACTTTCCTCTTTGGAAATCACTTGCACTCACTTTCTCTGGACCTCAGAACAATGGAATGAGAAGTGCATGGATTACTTCTTTACAGGTAGAGTCAAGGACATAGATGCGTGTTTAAGTGATGTTTTCTACTTTCCCCAATCAATGGGAAGGAAAGCTGGGGAGCACAGAGATCTCCAGTGTCAGTATAGAGTTCTATTCTACCCTTCCTATTCCCCTGGCAACACACTTCCCAGCCGTGAGACCTAGGGTGCGGCTCTCTACCTCTGGTACGGTGGGAGGCATCTCAGTCCTCAGTGTGTTAAGTTCATCTCCATCATCATCATCATCAACATTATCATTTAAGAGAGGAAATTTGCTATGAGGCTAACAAAGCTTAAGTTTCAGGCCTTTCCAAGATGCTATATCTAAATGAGCAGTCTTAAATTCATATTCTTTTTTTTTCGAAAAGGGCCCCCATAATGTATTAGTTTCAGATCCACAGAATCTGAATCCATGTCAGGGAGCACATTTAGCCATTCACTCCAGTAGTGACAAGACCTGCCTTCCCAGACTTGGGGTGCAGATAGTTTCCACTTACCTATTTTCCTGGGCTGTATGATATCTCTTTTTAAAGTACTCCTTTCCCAATAATAAAGTTTTAAGAGATTACTGCCAGTCCTCACCAAACAAGACGTGGCTTCTGAAATTCACTGTAACCCAGCTCAGCTCATAGTGTCAAAGTCTTTTCAGAAGCATTTTGGACACTCTGGACTGCTATAGCAATTTACCACAGACTGGGTGGCTTACACAACAGAAATTTATGCCTTATGGTGCTGAAGGCTCAAAGCCTGAGATCAGGGTGCCATGTGGTTGGGTTCAGGTGAGGGTTCTCTTCAGGGGTCCTCACCTGGGAGAGTGAGGAAACAAGCTCTCTCCTCTCTCTGCTTACAAGGGCACTAAATAGGGCTCATTCTCATGACCTCATGTCATTGGAATTACTTCCCAAGGGTCCTACTTCCTAATACCATCACACTGAAGATTAGGGTTTTAATATATGCATTCTGGTGCAAATTAAAACCATAGTAAGACATAACCACACACCTGCGAGAATTGCTTATATCAGAAAGACCAGAAACAAGATGTTGGTAAGGGACTCTCATTCTCTGTTGCCAAGAATATAAATTGGTGCAGCCCCTATGGAACACAGGATGGAGATTCCTTCACCTCATAATGGAAATACTATTGATGTATGACTGAGAAACACCTCTCCTAGGTATTTATCCATGCGATGTAATTTTCAATTAGGTTCAGATTTACCTCATGTCATCATTACTCTTAAGAAATGATAGTTGTCAAATAAATAAATGATACAAATAAGATAAACACGTTTTTTTACTAATTTCATTCTATACAGTTGTACTCAGGACACTGATATATCTAATAAAATATTAAATAACTCCTGTCACCATTCAGCCAATACATTTGTAGTGAGCATTTATCATACATCAGGCACTATTTTAGTAGAGAAACAAAATAAAACAAGTCCTTAGATTTTGATAGCAAAATGGTGGTTATCACAGGGGAAGAGTGTGGAAAAGTGGATGGGACAAGTAGAGGGGATCAGTTGCAGGTTGGTAGATGGTAAATGGATCTTTGGTGGAGGGTGTGGTGTGTTATTTACATTGATCAAGGTGTGAAGCTATACTCCTGAAAGTGTTGTAAACCAATGTTACAGCAACTGAAAAAAAGAAAAAGAGACAAAAATCCTCGGCTTCATTAAGCAATATGAAAGGAAGCACAACAAAAATGCAAAAGTAAATTTTAAAGGTGTATGTGCTATGGAAAAAGATAAAGGCAGCAGAATGCAGAGTACTCAGTGGAAGATTCACTGTGAAGGTGGCATTTAACCAAAATATTAAAAAAGGCCAGGGAAAAGGCACGTGACTATGTGTGGGGAAAGTGTTGTAGGCAGAGAGAACAAAATATGCAGAAGCCCTGTGGAGAGATCAGCCTTGACATGTACACAAGAAATATAGTAAAGAGGAGGAAGAGTCATAGAAGGGGAGGAGATAGAAAAGGGGAAAAGACAAATGAAAACACTGATTTGTAAAGAATTATGCATATTCACTGTAGCATTACTTACAATAGCCAAGATATGGAAACAACCTAAGGCCTACTAATAAATGAATAGATTAAGGTGTGGTATATATAGTCATGCATCACTTAACAATGGGCATACATTCCAAGAAATATAATAGGCAATTTCACCATTGTGCAAACATCATAAAGGGTAATTATACAAACCTAGACAGTACAGTCTACTACACTAGGCTATATGGTATGGTCTACTGGAACCACAACTGTACATGTGGTCCACTGCTGAGAAACACATTATACTATATGAAATGAAGTACTACACAGCTGTGAAAAAGAATGAAATCTTGCCATTTATGACAACATGGATGGGTACTAAGGGTATTATGCCAAGTGAAATAAATCTAAAACAGAGAAATGAATACCATATGATTCACTTATATTGGAATCTAAAAAGCAAAACAAATTAAAATTAAAATCACGGAGACAGAAAATAGATTGGTGGTTATCAGAGGAAGGAAGAGTTGAGGGGGTAGACAAAATGGGTAAATGTGATCATGAGGTACAAACTTCCAGTTACAAAACAAGTCAAGAAAATGCAATGTACACAACATGGGGACAATAATAATACGGTATTACAAATTCAAAAAGAATGGTATGCTTATTGTGATGATCATTTCACAATGTATACAAATATTGAATTATTATGCTGTACATCTGAAACTAAGATGATGTATGTTAATTACATGTCAATTTTTAAAAAGAAAGAGAAGAGGAGGTAGGGCAGGTGGTGCAGGGCCTTTTATCCCTTTGCTAAGCACCTTGGCTTTACTCTGAATAAGATGGGAAACCATTTGAGCAGAGGACTGCCCCAATATAATTATATTTTAGCAGGATCACACTGTGTTCACAGTGCACTGTAAAGGGCAAGATAAAGAGCAGCACAGTTGGAAGGTATTGCTACATCAGGCAAGAGATGAAAATGGCTTGTGCAAAGGTGTTAGGAGTGGAGGGAGTAAGAGGGTCATACCACCCCTGGGATATGGGAATATGACAGAAGACAGAAGGTTATGAAGACTCAAGGTTTTTATCTTGAGCCACTTAGAGGGCGGAATTGCCATTAAGACTGACAGGGAACAATGTAAGATAACAGACAAGTTCAGTGGTGGAGAGGAAGCTCATGATTTCAGATTTGGAACATTGACTATGAAATGCCTATTAAACACCCAGGTGGAGAGCTGGACCCACAAATATCTGAATTTCAAGGGAGAGATTTAGAATGGAGATGGAAATTTGCTATTCACCAGCAGATAGGCAGTATTTAAAATGCTGAGATGGGCTACAGTAGTGAATGCACAGCAACACCATAAGGCCAGAAAGAAGCAAAACTGGGTAAAACGACCAAGGAGCTGGCAAGGGAGGAAAGAAAGGAGACTTTGTACTATGCTGGGAACCAAAATGCTTTGAGGCATTTTGAGGAAGAAGCAATCGATTGGATCAATGTTACGAACAAGCTAATAAGACGAAGGCTGAGACTCTAGCATCAAATGTCTACTTATGCCAGGCATAAAAAAGGGAAAAGTAGTCCACAGTCTAGTGGTAAGGCGGACAAAAAAAGTAGTTAATTACAGTTCAGATGTTATGAAGGAGAAAGATGTCACAGAACACCCTGACTTATAGATATAAAGAAGCACAAGAACTACTCTGATGAAAATAGCATCCCATAAAGGAAACTATTCAATACCTCTAGAATATGTCATTATTTAGACATAGCTGATTCTATCTTCTATGCTTTTTAACATTATTCCTTATTCTTTAATTCTGGTAATTTACTTGTTAATTTTATCATAAATTTTTAAATCTGTAATTTATCCCTGAGGATAGCCCACATTCAGAGAAATACATATCAACATCATCAATAAAAACCTCAAAATATTCTTAACATTAATGATGAAAACTCTGTCAGTTTAGAAGACCTCTGAACGCTTTTAAATTCTTTAAGGCTCTTCAGGAGTAAGGGTGCTAGGTCGTTTACAGAAGCTACAAAAATGAAGAGAAAGTAGTAATTCAGCTAAGGTACAAAAGTGAAGCAGTCAGCAGGAGCTAATGGGGAACCATCCAACAGAGAAACAATACAACTATGGGAGCATATCTAAGCTTCCCAAATGAATGTGGGCCATTTAAAAACAGTAATTTTTCTATCCTTCTGTAGACAGATTAATTAGGTCGGGGTGAAGAGGTGGCAGCCGTAATTTCAGTGCTAGCTCTCAACAGATTGCCAGAATCACTTTTATCACTTTTTTTTTTTTTTACCCTTTCTCTATTCGGTCTGTGTGAAAGGATATAGAGGCAGACACAATAAGAACACTATGCAGGTGTTAGAAGCACATAATAAACCCTTTCCTCAAAGGAAAAAGAGGACACAGAGGCCCCCCCTTGACACTCACAGTATGAACCAGAGGAGGATCTCTATTTCCTGACCCAGCGGAAACAGTGCTAGTTCTTTCCCTTTACTGAGTTACAAAGGAGTTTGGTGGTTGAATTTCTCTAAGATCTCTTCTTACTATAAGATTCTGAAGTTTAAATATTTTCATTTCTAAGAAAAGCTTACTTATATATTTTGCAGACTGCTCTCAGAGGAGTTGAGTGCGCTTTTTTTTTTTTTTTAGAGAAAAAAAGGAATATTATTTTAAGTAA